GGTCATGTTGTTTAGTTTCCTCAACATTTCTCTTGGAAATTTCTTGTGAGAATGTTATATTATATGTAGCCTTTCTATAAGGGATTGATATTCTACATATTTCGGTACAATTAGCCTCTTAAGATCTAAATAATGAATACATCGAACGACTTATAAATTGGACTGTGCTCGGATAAGTTGTACTTTTTAGTTATTCGTTTTCCTTTTCTTTTCCCTTTTTTCCCTCTCTTCTCTTTCCTATTTTGCCTGGATTAACCTGCAGTCACCCATTGAGCAAGACCGCCAAGCCAACCACAGCCACTGGCTACAACAGCGATTCCCGTCATGCCTCCGCTAGACGCCACCACCCCATTCGTCACTAGCTTCCACCCTTGTCGCGCGACGCTGCCACCTACTCCATTGCCTATGCGAAGCACCCACTTGCCACTGGCTCGCTCTTTGCGTATTCTCTCCTTCGCAGACTGGGTTTGTCCTCACAACGCTGGATTCAATGTCGCACGTCGCCAGGCCTGGCCCAACCTTGGGCTAAGTTAAATCTGGCATCGCCCGAGGCTTCGCAAAGGCAAAGGAGTCGTGATCCCCCGAGCTTGCCTATGTCCTTGACGAGTACAAGGAAGGTGAGAGAGAGTCCTTGCTAATGTCGACCCAAGCTGGGCAGCAGCACCGACGTGGTGGTGATCTATCGCGTGCAAATTCTCTTAGGGCATAATGGTACTTTAGATCAATATGTAATTATAATAAATGGAGAGGATGCTTAATGGGATCTCAATCCATAATGGTAACAGTTTGAATTTGCCCATTGTTTTTAAAACATCATGAAAGATCATGCCGTCACCGTCGAAAAGAAAAGGAGCGAGCAGGGCTAATAAACAAACGTCATTCGAGGGTTTTCTATTCATGATGTGACTTTCGGATTGTGTGCATCCTACGAGATGGCCTGTGTTGTAAAATCCAATGGACATGGCGGGGGCTGCGAAATGAAATAGATAGAGAAGAGTAAAGAGAAGAGTAAAAGAGGAATCTGTTCAGGGTAAATTACACTTGAAATCACTTAATTTTGAGTTAGGTTTCATATAGGTCAGTCGACTTTTATTTTAGTCAATAGGTCACACAATTTTGATTTTGCTTCCAAAGCTTTCAAGTTTCCATCTATTTATTAGATACTGATCTCACGCGAGCACCACGAGGGCAAGCTTGCGCTAGCTCGAGTTCAAGCTCCCATGGCTGCGAGCCGAGAGCTCCACAGAGAGAGAGAGCTCATCACCGGAAAGGGGCTCGACTGCCGTGTTGGATGGCGGTAGTGAGGGGTGGTGAGAGCTTGCTGTCGGCTGAGGTAGAGCTGAGAGGAAGGTGGGTGGCCGAAGAGAGAGAGAAAGAGGTGGGTGTAGGGCAATGAGTTACATGAGAGTACACATGTATTTTGGTTGGACAAGATGCAAATTGTATATTTTGAAAACTGATAGATGGTATTTAATATGTGTGCAAATCTCGAGATGCAATTTGCAATTATCCCTTTATTTTATCTGTCAAATTGCTAATCATACGTAGTTCTCTGTCTCTTAAAAATAGTACTCATAAAGAAAATGGGGTGAGTCATAGTGCAAACAATACAAAGTAAACAAGATACAAATCATATATATATATATATATATATATATATATATATATATATATATATATATATATATGTATGTATGATGTCCATAAAAAAGGATGACATGAAAAGGATGTACAACTAACGCGTCTTATATCTTTTACACTACACTACTCCCATAACATTGGGTGAATGTACTAGAATTGGTTCAAAGATGCAATAGATTCCATATTCGAATCACAACAACTTTCTTTCATAATAATCTTTGAGCTAGGCTCATATCACCACCTGATGCGTTGGTGGGCGAGTGATTTCGGAACGGGTAATTTTCTTTTTGGAATTTTCTAGATAAGTGTATGGAATGGAGTGTATGAGGATGGAACTGAAGGGAAAAATGCAGAGATAAAATAAGATAGAACGATGTCCTTCCAAGGTATAAAGGCCACGCCACCAACCAAGGATGAGGATCGGGATCTACGAAGTTCACCACCGAGGCCTAAAGATTCCACCAGCCACGGATAAAGGACTTCGGGATAGGAGAAGCTCACCACCAAGGCCTAAAGATATCACCAGCCAAAGATAAAGGGCTTCTTGGCTCACCACCAAGGAGTAATCCACGTTCCAAGGATAAAGAGACCGAAAGGAGTTATCCACTCTCCGAAGATATTCACTCATGCAGAGGAAATCTCACAAATTTTCATTTCATCAAAAATCATGTTTACAATGGAGATTCGTCCTCTATTTATAGGAGAAACGAGACCTAGGAATCAATCGAAATATTAAAAGAAAACCTTGGGACTAAGAAACATAATAAAGCACCTAGGTTCTACAAACTTTGACTCTTTGAAACTTGTAAAATAGTAAAGACACCTAGGACTTAGAAATGCATTTAATAGCATGGGAACTTGCATTCTTGAGTCTTCATCTTTGCAAAATTCATGCTCCCCCTTTGACCAGAAGATAACCTTGTTGAAAACTCTTCAAATGCTCTTTGAAATAGTCCATAATAGCCTCCCATCGATATGTCATCGATATACTTCAAGTTATCGACATTCTTCATCGTATCGATATGTTGACAAGTTATCGACATTCTTCAATGCGTCGATATGATATCGATAGGTTTTGTTTCATTCAGAATCGTTGGAAATGACCCATCGAAGCACATGACACCCAAATTCTTTATTGGCTTGAATAAGCATCGATGGTTCCGAATTGTTCGATGGAGCTAAGTCGGATGCTCCCGCATCATCCTCCCCGGGTTGTTTGAGATTTGTCCTCAAATCTGAGAAGTCTTCATCTTCCAAGTAAGGAGAAAGGTCTCCCACATTGAAAGTTGCCGAAACTCCAAACTCTCCAGGAAGATTAATCTTGTAAGCATTGTCCCGAATTCACTCGATAACTGTAAACGGACCATCAGCTCTCGGCATGAGCTTGCTCTTGCGTCGATATGGAAATCTCTCTTTCCTTAAGTGAAGCAACACAAGATCACCCGATTGAAATTGGGCCTTCTTCCGAAACTGATTTGCTTTCTTCTGGTAGGACTCATTGCCTTCTCGATCTTTGATCGAATTTGCTCATGAAGCTTCTTCATCGATTCAGCTCTATCTTTGCCATCAAAGCTTACTTGAGAGTTAGATGGAATTGGAATCAAATCGATGGGTGTGAGAGGATTAATTCCATAAACAACTTCAAATGGTGATCGACCAGTAGTGTAACTTGGTGATCGATTGTAAGCAAATTCAGCATGAGCAAGCTTCAAATCCCAATCTTTCAAAGATTTACTCACCATGCCACGAAGAAGAGTCGTAAGAGTGCGGTTGGTTACCTCCGTTTGGCCATCGATTTGAGGATGACAAGCAGTGCTGAATAAGAGTTTGGTACCAAGCATTCTCCATAGTGTCTTCCAGAAGTAGCTTAAGAACTTGGAATCACGATCCGACACAATGGTCTTTGGTACTCCATGGAGACGAATAATCTCTTTGAAATATAAGTCAGCAACATGAGATGCATCATCGGTTTTGTGACATAGCACAAAATGAGCCATTTTAGAGGACCGATCGACAACCACCATGATGGCATCTTTTCCCCTTTGAGTTCTCGGTAGAGCCACAATGAAATCCATGCTAACATCTTCCCAGGGCTGCAATGGAACCGGGAGTGGAGTATACAACCCTTGATGGAAATGACTTTTTGCTCTTTGACAAGTTGCACACCTCGAGATAATAGCATGCACATCTCCATTCATCTTTGGCCAATAGAAATGTTCTTGTAGAACCTCAAGAGTTTTGTTAACTCCAAAATGACCAGCCATTCCACCACCATGCGCTTCTCGAATTAGCAACTCGCGAAAAGAACTCTTCGGCACACATAATCGATTTCCTTTAAAAAGAAACCCATCTTGTAAGGAATATGTACCTTGAACTCGTCGCTTACAGTTGTCCATGATTTATGAGAACTCAGCATCTTCATAATAAAGTTCTTTCATCCATTGAAATCCAAGAATTCTAGAGTCCAGAACAGCAAGCATAGAATATCTCCTCGATAAAGCATCTGCTACAACATTAGTGTGTCTAGGCTTATATTTTGAGACAAAAGAAAAGGATTGAAGAAATTCTACCCATTTTGCATGTCTCGAATTAAGCTTGCGTTGGCCGCTAATGAATTTGAGAGATTCATGATCAGAATGAAGGACAAATTGCTTTGGCCTCAAATAATGACTCAAATGATGAAGAGCTCGGACAATGACATAGAATTCTTTATCATAAGTTGAATAATTCTTTTTTGAATCAGTCAGCTTTTCGCTGAAATATGCCAAAGGTTTTTGTGCTTGCACAATAACAGCACCAATGCCAACTCCACTTGCATCACACTCAACTTCAAATACTTTATCAAAATCAGGAAGGGCAAGAATAGGGGACTCACAAAGTTTTTGCTTGATTACCTCAAAAGCATTTTGAGCAACCTTTGTCCATTCAAAAGCTCCCTTCTTCATGCATTCAGTTATAGGAGCCATGATGGTACTGAAATTTTTAACAAATCGTTGATAGAAAGAAACAAGTCTATGAAAACTTCTTACATCAGAAATGGACTTCGGAACCGGCCAAGTCTTCATAGCTTCCACCTTGGATTGATCGACGGAAATTCCATCTTTGGAAACTACATAACCAAGAAACACAATGCTTGGAGAGAAGAACTCACATTTCCCCATTTTGGCATAGAGTTTCTGTTCTCTCAAGATATTAAAGACCTGTTTTAAATGAGAGATATGCTCCTCCTTGTTCCTGCTATAAACAAGAATATCGTCGAAATAAACAACGACAAATCGACCAATAAAGGAACGAAGAACTTCGTTCATAAGTCTCATGAAGGTACTTGGAACATTCGATAACCCGAATGGCATTACCAACTACTCATAAAGGCCTCCCTTGGTTTTGAAAGCCGTCTTCCATTCATCACCTTCTCGCATTCTGATTTGGTGATAACCACTTCGCAAATCTATCTTTGAGAAGACAGTAGAACCATACAATTCATCAAGCATATCATCAAGTCTAGGTATAAGGTACCTATACTTAATGGTGATGTTGTTGATGGCTCGGCTATCAACGCACATTCTGAATGAACCATCTTTCTTGGGCACGAGTAGAGCCGGAACAAAACATGGACTCATGCTTTCTCGAACATATCCTCTGTCGATAAGTTCATCGACTTGTCTTTGTAACTCCTTTGTTTCCTCCGGATTGCATTGATAAGCTGGTTTGTTCGGTAGAGGAGCGCCGGGGATCAAATCAATTTGGTGCTCAATACCTCTTATGAGAGGTAATCCAGGTGGCAAATCCTCTGGGAACACATCTGCAAAATCTTTCAACAAGCGATGCATCTTTGGATGAATGGGTCGCTCTATCTCACTCTTTTTCTCTACCATAAGCAAAGCAAATACATTCTTTTGTTTGCTAATGGCTCTCTCAACCCGTGTTTCATTTAAGAACAAACTTTCCTTACCAGTGTTTCCCTCCCCAGGTTGATTTCGATGTATCAATGAAGGATTCAAGGGTAAAAGGATGATGCATTTTTGTTCCTTCCGAAAAGAGTATGTGTTCTTACGACCATCATGCATAGAATTCATATCATATTGCCAAGGTCTTCCCAATAACAAGTGACATGCATCCATGGGAATCACATCACATAGAACTTGATCTCGATAGTTCTTCCCAATCGAAAACGATATAAGAGCTCGTTTGGTTACCTTGAGATCATTTCCTTGATTGAGCCATTGGAGCTTGTACGGTTGAGGATGTTTCGTTGTTGGAAGCTTCAGCTTGTCGACAAGGGTTGTCGAAGCAACGTTGGTGCAACTCCCACCATCGATAATCACCGAACATACCTTCCCGTTAATAGTACAACGGGTGTGAAAGATGTTCTCCCTTTGCTCATTATCAAGAGAAACTTCAGCATGCAATGCTCTTCGTATGATCAACATTTCGCCATCATCTGCTTTCTCCATAACTTCTTCTTCCTTTTCAGATTCGGAACCATTTTGGTCCGGATTGCTTTCAGCCTCTTGAAGTGCCGAATTGATCTCCTCAATTTCTTGAAGAGTCATAACTCGCCGATTTGGACAATTTGCTTGAAAATGTCCAAAACCACGGCACTTAAAGCATTTCCTCGCATCGCCTTCAAGTTTCTTCTGAAATCCTTTGGAAGGCTCTGTGCTCTTCTCCTTTCCTTTGTCTTTGGTCGACGTGCTTTCGACCTTGCTTGAGGAAGCACCTTTAAAATAGGATGTCGCCTTGGTTGAGGTTCTGGAGGAAAACCTCTTGCCTTTCAGTTGCTTCTCAACTTTTATGGCTAGCTTACAAACGTCTTCAAAGGACCAATACGGTTGAAGTTCAACCATATCAGCAATTTCTCTATTCATGCCGCCAAGGAAACGAGCGACGGTTTGCTCCGGAACTTCTGGAACGTCGCATCTCATTTTGAGTTGTTCAAACTCACGGATGTATTCTTCAATACTCATCCCTTGTTGTCTTAGGGAATTCAGTTTTAGGAAAAGATCTTGCCTATAGTTGTCGGGCAAGAACCTCTTCTTCATCAACTTCTTGAGTTTTTCCCAAGACTTGATTCGGCCTTTTCCTTCTCTTGCTCGCTAATGCTTTAGATTCTCCCACCATAGAGAAGCATACTTTGTCAACTTTAGGACAGCAACCTTGCACCTCTTCTCGTCCGAGTAGGACTTGAAGTCAAAAATCCGTTCAACTGTATGTAGCCAATCCACAAAGTCATCAGGATTGAGACTACCTTCAAATTCAGGGACCTCCACTTTGATGTCTCGATCATTCTCCTTATGCCTCCCTCTTCGTCTTTGGATATGAGAATCGGAATCACTAGAGTTGCCCCCAGTGGAATTGGAATCGCCACTAGAACTTTGACGAGATTCTGAATCGTCATGCTGACGTCGATCATTCGGACGCCTCTCCGGTTGGCCTTGTCTCGCCGAATCCTCTAGAAGATTGAGGACTCGCTCCATTTGTTGCTGAAGGTTTTGGATAGCACGATCCCGCCTTTCATTGTGCGCTTGTTCCAAAGTCAAGCCTCTTGGAACCCGATCATCCATGTTGAATAAGGATTGGAAAACATAAAGGAATCACTCAAACAAGTTCAACCTTGAGCTCTGATACCAATTTGATGAGTTGGTGGGCGAGTGATTCCGGAACGGGTAATTTTCTTTTTGGAATTTTCTAGATAAGTGTATGGAATGGAGTGTATGAGGATGGAACTGAAGGGAAAAATGCAGAGGTAAAATAAGATAGAACGATGTCCTTCCAAGGTATAAAGGCCACGCCACCAACCAAGGATGAGGATCGGGATCTACGAAGTTCACCACCGAGGCCTAAAGATTCCACCAGCCACGGATAAATGACTTCGGGATAGGAGAAGCTCACCACCAAGGCCTAAAGTTATCACCAGCCAAAGATAAAGGGCTTCTTGGCTCACCACCAAGGAGTAATCCACGTTCCAAGGATAAAGAGACCGAAATGAGTTATCCACTCTCCAAAGATATTCACTCGTGCAGAGGAAATCTCACAAATTTTCATTTCATCAAAAATCATGTTTACAATGGAGATTCGTCCTCTATTTATAGGAGAAACGAGACCTAGGAATCAATCGAAATATTAAAAGAAAACCTTGGGACTAAGAAACATAATAAAGCACCTAGGTTCTACAAACTTTGACTCTTTGAAACTTGTAAAATAGTAAAGACACCTAGGACTTAGAAATGCAATTAATAGCATGGGAACTTGCATTCTTGAGTCTTCATCTTTGCAAAATTCGTGCTCCCCCTTTGACCAGAAGATAACCTTGTTGAAAACTCTTCAAATGCTCTTTGAAATAGTCCATAATAGCCTCCCATCGATATGTCATCGATATACTTCAAGTTATCGACATTCTTCATCGTATCGATATGTTGACAAGTTATCGACATTCTTCAATGCGTCGATATGATATCGATAGGTTTTGTTTCATTCAGAATTGTTGGAAATGACCCATCGAAGCACATGATGCCCAAATTCTTTATTGGCTTGAATAAGCATCAATGGTTCCGAATTGTTCGATGGAGCTAAGTCGGATGCTCCCGCATCACCACCCATGCACAATGTGGAGCCTTATCCGAAGCATATGAGACTTGGCGGTTGTTGGGACAATTGTAGTTATCATTGGCTAGAACAGTTTGGGTACTTCCTCTAAATCAAAATATAATACGAACTTCTCTGAACGAACGTGCTGGAAGACAGGAACATGCAGAATATGAGAAATAAAAGAATAGGATGCCCTGACTAGTACGGCTGATACCAAAAGCGCGTCGCCCTTCATGCACGGTCCTTTTCATTCATCTCCAGGAACAGCTGGACACCAACCTTAGGGCCCATATTTTCCCTGAATTTGGTGGAATTGGACAGCATTTAATTAGTTAAGCTAAAGAAAAAATCTTGGTAGGATTCAACGCACAATCACAAGAAAATAGAGAGTAAAAGCAAGAAAAAGAAATTGACACACGAGGTTTTGATCCTGATTCACCCTCATATTAGGGTTACGTCTAGCAGAGAATTCTACTATAATTATAGCATCTTGCACCTCTCAATTACATCTCTAATTTACAAGAGAAAGATAATATATATAGGCAATAATAGCTTTTCATGGGCCCAAACTCAAACTACTAATAATATATAGGCTCAAAATATGAAAGCCATCTGGCTTCGCACGAGCGTTGCTCCCTAAGACCCTTGCCGGGGTGACTCCCCCAGAACCCCACCTGCTCACTTGGGAGCAGGATCCCTATGCCTTCCAATCGATGAGGAGTATGAACCACACCCCAACAAATCTTGATACCTTTAAGAGAGAGTCTAATTCTGACCCCATTAATGTATATAATTGGAATCACCTATAATGAAAAAGGTTAAACCAACGACTTATGAGTTAACAAGATATATAAACTACTGCAAATCATATTAATTTTCCTATGTGGGACCGTTGCCTAACACCTTTGAAGAATCTTGAATTTTGCAAACTGGGAGTCGTCGGTTTGTAGCACCTTCGTTCTCAGGATCATTCCAAATCCTAGATTTAAATAATCTACCGGAAGCAAAAATGATCATAAACTTCAATTTTAGACAAGAGTTGCTAGCAATTGGTCAGGAAAAGCTCAGGTAGTTATGGAAAAGCCAGCTTCTTAAGTGCACCTGTGGAGGAACTGGTCAAACTAAACCTAAAGATCTTTGTTCCAAGGTTTCAGTTACGCACACGGTAGGTTAAGATCCCACGTCGCACTTTCAGTACAACAACCGTATTTTTAGTTAAGTCGTAAACCATTCATTGTTAATTTGATGCGTGATGTTTCATCTTAAAATTTGAAATGTCGCCAAAACAAGCATTCAACATCGTTATTGATTAATGAGGCCGTTTTCACATGTGGCAGGGTGACTCCATTTGTGTGTCAAATTGTGCATGCAAATGTCAATTTAGATACAAAATTCAATCATGAAAATGACATGACATGGCAACCACATGACAAATTTGATATTTCAGAACATTATGAGAAAATAAGAAGACATGGCATGGCAAAGATCCCGTGCAACACGACTTGGTAAATGTCATGGTAAATCAAATTCAAGTATGATTATGAAATGACATGGCATGATAAAAGTCATATGCAACATGACAGAGCAAATTAGATTCAAATTACAACGATGAAATGATGTGTGGTATATACCACTTATACCGTGTGAGGAGTTGTTTTTCATTCAGTTTGCGACTTTCCTCGAATATCGTAATGTTTATGTAGAAACACACTTTTGCTTTCGATTAGATCAAAATAAAATCAAATTAAATTTAAAATCATGACTTGGTCAACAAACGGGGAACCTTGAAAAGAAGAATAATATTTCGAATGGTTAATACCGCGAAAAACCTTGAACATGGTCTTGGTATCACCTCTTGAGACAGGACCGCTTGTGAGTGGTAAATGGAGAACATAAAAATATTCGTGCAAAGTTTCTAAACTAGACTAATGCATAAAAGGAAATTAAGTTTGCAATCGTGATATATTATGTAAAATAATGTGCTCGACCGAAAAGAAAATTATTTTCCTAAAATGAACTATTAAACATGAAAATAAAATTCAACAAGACAGCCTATAATTCAAGGGAATTCTAAGAGATTAAATCAATTTATATAATGTGAATATGCAAATTAATCTAAATTTCCCTAAATGCACCCCTAGACATACTTTTGTGATGTTTTTTATTTAATCAAGATGCAATCCAAAATAACTAGTATGCAAGATGTGATTTTTCTTAGGTTTTCCATTTTCATTATCCGCAAATGAGACATGTATAAGTATTCAACCTAGACGACCTAAATATGCACTAAAACACTTATTCCTAAAGGCATACAACCGAAACAAGTCACGCCAGATAGCCGCCCCTTTCTCTCTTTTCGCAGCCTCGTGGACGGACAAAAGAAGGGGAAGTTACAGAAGGTGGTTGTGAAGGCTCGCGAAAATTTTGATTCAATTAATCCAAAACATTTGGTTTTATTAAACCTTCTCCTGATATGGGAATGCAGAACATGATGATTGTCTCTGATATGAACGTGCCATGGAGGAGTTTTTGTGAAGTGCAGTTAAACATGTAATTTCTATGCGATGCAAACATGAAATTAAATGTGACGATGTGATCTCAATTGACCAAGCAACATGCAATTTCTTGAAAACCCTAATATAGACTGTCACGCCCCGAACCCGGCTTGCACGCAATATCCCACTTAGGTCGATAATAGTTCGATGTCCCAGGACTCGTCGCCGACCCAGAGAAACACTAATGATCATGCACAAGCGGAAACGAATTCAAACACCCCATACAAAAATTCAATTATACGGGATAGTAGGGAACTCGCTTGATCACATAACAACAATCATATTCATACACTTGGCATACTTACAACATTTATTACATAACCTTACACTAAGCCACTAACATCAAACCACGTTCATAAAAAAGAGTTGGTGGTTGGGTAGCCTAACTTCACTACCAAAAGGAGTACACAACAGACGGGAGCATTAAACCTATCTTCAATCCCCGTGGTACTCTGGCGGTGTCCCCGGGTCTTCCATAACGTCATGAGGCTCAGAAGTCTGAAAGGTTTATAATCAACTATGAGAACGAGTCTCAATAAGCGAACAACCTAAGTCTCGCATAGGCCAACACGTACTTCCGAACAAGTCTAAGCACGAGATTCAAACAATCAACATGCCATGACAAATACAGACATCCCTACCTCATCTTGGAACATGTACATGCCCTGCATGTTAGTTAAATCGCAATAATGCAGCAATAACTCACGGACACGTACAATCCCGGATATGACTTACACATGCATGTGTACTAGCAATAATCTGAACATGATCACATCTCAGTCTCAATACACTACATACACCAATGCACAACACACAACCGCTCT